CACTTTAATTTGTAGATTGTGTAATAAGATACTTAGTTAATTTATGTATCTTTGAAATTAAAACATCATATTATATATTTTACATTTTGGAAATTGGATTAAAAAATGGTGAGGATATTGTTGCAATAGTTAAGTACGGTGTTGGACCCACATACTAAATTTGTTGACAACTTTTATTTTGTGCATTGTAACAACGTTTTATTTTGACATTTAGAATTTAAGAAATAATAATTGTAGAACATAACAAAAGGAACATCTTCGTTTTTTATGAGTTGTTTAGCCATATTTTTATTTTGTTTGAAAGTAATACTTGGATCAATGGATATTGGTTTATGCATATAATTGGCCTATGGTTGAAATTCTGTGAAAATTGATGGACTGTAAAACATTTTTCAAAACTGAAAAATTATATATCATGGTGTTGTACCATAAAATTTGTCCTCTCGTTTTCTTCAAAGGTCTCAAAGGTCTCAAAGCTACTCAGGAGTTGGCTGGTCAAACCTCCTCCTAAGCAAGGGTCTACAACTAGGGTTTCATGCTTCTCAAAGAAGATTGGGTTGTAAGGATCTCAAATGACTTTCATGGTTCACCATAAATCCTCAATAATGCTTATGTCAAGTTTCAAGTCTTGCATCACATGTTTGCTTAGTCAATGACTCAGATGATTGAAAGTCAATTGTATTAGGTAAAAAGTCAACTATGGTCAACATACAGTCAAACTTCAAGATTCTTTGTCAACATCAACATTTTGAGGTGATATTCATCATTTGATCAAGGGTTGATCAAGATTCCTCAAGGAAAGCCCTCAAATTATCAAAGGTCAAAATTTTCCAAATTAGAGTTTTGATTGAAGATGACTGATCATTGACTTTTGACCTAGTGCATGACCTAATGGCTTAAAGCATGATCTCAAGGGCTCAAATACAACATCTTGACCTAATTATATGGCTCAAGACATTTCCAAAGATACAAGTGATTGATAATTGAAGAATTGAATCAATTGATGAAAAGTCAACAAGCACAGAAAAGTCAAACTTTGACTTTTTGGTCAACCTTGGAATTCAAAAATCAAGAATCATCAAAACTTTCAAAACTAACAAACTTTGTCATCAAGAATCAAGAGAATCAAGAAAGTCAACAAAAGTCAAAGTTGGAAGATTTTCTAGTACTTATATAAATTTAAGTATTTTGTGCTTTGAAAACCCTAACTTCACAAGCAAGTTTCTTCAACATACAAGTTGATTCAAGGAAAATGTTAAACATGAAAGTTGCAGGGATTAATGAATTCTACAACTTTTTTTAATGTGGGATGATCCTCAAAAAGTGCTTAATTTAAGAGATATGAGCTCATGAAGTTGTGATGTTTTTTATCCAACACTTAGAAAAAATTTCAACAAGTTTTGATCAGTTTTTTATCCCAACTTCTTTGCCAATTTTCACCAAGTTCCCATTTGATTTAGCCAAAGTAGTCAACATGAAAGTTGAAGATCTTGATTCAAGCTTTCCAAAATGTCAAGGAGCATGAATTTCTCATACTTGAGCTAGGATATTCGAAGATTTGAAGTTGGCATGTCATTCTTGAATTATAGGACATTTTTATGATGAACTCATAATCAATTCTCATATCCATGCCTTGTAATCTCACTTTGCAGGCCTCTAAACCTCAAAATCTTTCCATAATCAGAAGATTACACACTCTTGTTAGCTATTATCCAAGTGTTCAAGCCTTTATCCAATGCATTATTCCATTTTTTGCACAAAGTTAACACTACCACTCGTGTAAAGCTAACTGAAATCAAAATGTCAACTCCTTGAGCCCATACATTGCTTCCTCTGATCACACTCAAGTAGTAAAGGAAGAAGCAACATGTCTAAAGCTCCTAACCACTCTATGAGCGATGGTACTATGCATTGGAACTTTGATTTCTCAAGAAATCACAAGTTACATCTCAACCAAGCCAAAACTTGATAACTTGTAAACCAAGTCCTATCATCCTCTAAATTTTTTTCTATAAATAGAGAGCATAACACAATGCATAAGATAAGAATTCACAAGCCCTTTAAACCTCTCATACACTCTCAAAGTCAGAATTGCCATAAAACTCCATTTTTGAGATTTGAAGTCCATTTCTTCGAACCCCTCAAACCTTGTAATATATGTGAAAACCAACCATCCATACACCTTACATACATCACATATAACACATCCAAGCACCTGTTACACCTCTGTAACACCATCTTTATCATCCTCTAAACTCCATATTTGAAGCTTGCACATTGACTTGGTTGGATTGATTCCGCAACTTTCAAAGCAAAGTAGTTATCCCATTAGGTCAAAGAAGGTCCCAGCAAGCTTAATCCATCATCACATTGCTTATGGAAGTCATGTAAAGGGCATTGGATTTTTTTCTTCAAGAGGTGAGTTTTCTCAAACTGTGATATCCTTATCCATGCATCATTTGTGATTGATTTCAAAAAATAAAATGTAGATATCAATGCCCTGAAGCTAACCATGTCATTAGTTTTCATTTATATTGCTTGTGTGATGAGCATTTTAGCTCTGACCAATTAGGTTTTCATTTTGGTACCAACATAAATTCCTTTTAATCTTTGAGTGTTAATTAAAGTTAATGGCATGGTTGAATTCGTGGTGAAATTTAGAACAACTTTCATGTTTATAGTTTTTAAAATAGTTGAGAAATGGAAGAGTTTGATATTTGAAAATGTTGGTGTTGTTAGTCTGGCGCAAGGAAGAAGAAGAAGTTCATAAATTTGAACTTGTGAACATGTTTTATAATATATTTAATAGGTGATGTTTCATAACCGGATGAAACAGCCACCCTAGTGGAAAGCGTGTGTGTGAGTAAGGAGTTGGTGTGCCAGGCAGGGGTTTGATCCCTGCCTAAGGCATTTTATTTTTCAACATTTTCTTTGGAGATCAGGTACACGCAAATCCAGCGTGCAATGATGCACCCCCTCATCAACACCATCAAATCACCATACAATCAAATCCCATGCTCCAGATCAGTGTCCTCACCATGAGCCTTCATGGATCTCCCTCACTAGATCCAGTGCTGCGCCTGGGCTCTCTTGTTATTGGGCCTGGAGTTTTTTCTTTCTAACACCCCCCATTTCATTTATACTGCAGGCCCATTTTAATTTTTAAATTTTTCTATTTTAATTAACATTTTCTTTTCTTTAACCAATTCCATTTTTTATTTTTATTGAATCAACAAAAACCACAAAAAATCATTTAAAAAAAATTAGACTTAGTTTTTTTTTGTGACTAATTAATTTAATTTTTGATAAGATAAAATTAATTTAACTTAATCACACTTTAGTTTTATTATTAATAATTAATTAGTAGATTAATTAAAATTAGACTTTTACTATTATTTCACACTATAAATTATTTTTCTAAACAAAAACACCAAAAATACTTTTTTTCTAAACACTTAGAAATATTTTAGGATTTTTAAACATCTTTCCCCTTTTTCAATCTCTGCGCGCTCATTTACTTTTCACATTATTTTTCAATATTGTAACTATCAATAGTTTATAATAGATAATTAGGGTTTATTGCTTTCATCCCTATTCATAAATTTGTACCCCCATTCCCAAAGCCTTGTAATAGCGTAGAACATTTAATTTTCGTAATTTATTGCTTTCCTTATTACTGTTAGTTTAATAGGATTATATAACAAGATTAAAAGCAAACATTAGAAAACCTAATCTCGAGACAAATACTTGAAATCAAAACACTTCTCACACGTGCAACTCTAGGGTGACCCTCACTTGTTGCCTCGGATGTAACTAGTCATGTCCCTCGAACGTGGGATACTTTAGCAAAGACCCTCAATTAAAAGATCGTAGTCCATCGATGACCCTTCGATACTGCCTTCGATAAACGATCTTAGTCCCTTACGACAATTGCTAAAGCGTCCTACAAGTTGCCTTCTATGACTGTACGATGACCTGCGCCTGTCCCTCACATCTAATGATAGGGCTTCCTACTAACTAATAGAAGGGTAGCACTATCTAAAGGAGGAGGAAAAGAACAAAGACTTTTTAAATAGGTAGATCGCTCGTAATTGCTTGCTCACAAACTAAAACAATATTTACACCTCACACTTTCAAAACAACTACTTTCAAAATGCTTTATAAACACGCTTGAGAACTGATACAAGGGTTATTATAAAGCAAATTGCCTTACATTGGTATTTTCAAAACATCTTTCCCCAAAACAACACTTTCTTTCATTAAATATTTTCAAAACAAACATTTTGTATACATTCTCAACGATACGAGAATCATTATAAAATTTCCGTACTTAGACATCTTCAAAATATTTTCAAACATACACAAGCACAAAGCATTTCAAAAGTGAGCTAGCGATTAAGAGCCTGTAGATAACTACGGATGAAAAGGGTGCTAACACCTTCCCTTTTCATAACCTACCCCCCTTACTCAGAAAATTCTCAAAAGGTCTTTCATGTTCTTTTCACCCTTCATTTATTAGATAAAAGAAAATTCGGTGGCGACTCTTGCTATCCACAACATTTGCAATTAAACGTAAAACCCAAAAGTCAGTTCTCACACCTTATTACACACGACGTGTAATGTGAGTTCTGACGGGACCCTGCGATAGCACGAAAATCTTACAAGTTTTATGATAAAGCATTAATTTGACATCTTGTAATTTTTGATATTTTTATATCAAGTGTAATTGATTTTATCATAATATTTCCATCACAATATCATATGGCACACGGTTGCAATAAAATTATTTTATAACAATACATAGACCTCAGCTATAATGTTAAAGATATATCATCATGCTAGCTCTAATATTTGTACTAGAACATCACTGTATTCACTTTTATTTAATTTATTATAATATATTGAGCTTCATCCATAACGATTTTATTATTCATTTATTCTATTGTATTACTACTTTCTTTAGTGTTGATTAAAGCCCAATGCCTCCATCTATACTAACTTTAGGTTTGACGGTCGCTTCTTTTTCTTCCTTTTGCACTTCCACCAATACTTCTTGTTGTAGTTCCTCCCGCACTAGCACCTCCTCCAACACTGACTCCTCCTCCTGCACTTCCGCCAACACCTCTTGTCGCAAATCCTCCTCCTACAACATTGACTCCTCCTCCTCTTGCACTTTCACCAACATCTCCTCCCGCACCTCCTCCCGCACCAACACCGACTCCTCTTCCAGCACCTCCCCCAACACCGACTCCTCTTGTTGCACTTCCACCAACACCTCCACCCGCACCAACACCTCCTATTGCACCTCCTACCGCACCAACACCTCCTGATGCACCTGCTCCAACACCAACACTTCCTGTTGCACTTTCTCTCGCACCAGCACCTCCTCCAGCACTGACTCCCCTTCCTGCACTTCCACCAACACCTCCCGATGCATCTCCTCCCACACCAACACCTCCTCCAACACCGACTTCTCCCCCCGCATTTCCACCAACACCTCCTCCCACACTAGCACCTCCTCCAGCACCACCTCCAGCACCGACTCCTTCTCCCGCACTTCCACCAATACCTCCTACTACACCTCCTTCCGCACCAGCACCTCCTCCAACACTGAATCCTCCTCCTTCATTTCCACCAACACCACCTCCCACACTAGCACCTTCTCCAACACCTCCTCCATCACTGACTCCTCCTCCTGCACTTGCACCAACACCTCCTGTTGCACCTCCTACTGCACCTCCTTCCGCACCAGCACCTCCTCCAACACCTCCTCCAGCTCCTCTTCCATCACCGATTATTCCTCCTGTACTTCCACCAACACCTTCTCCTGCACCAGCACCTCCTCCAACACCTCCTCTCGCACCAACACTGAATCCTGCTCCTACACTTCCACCAACACCTCCAGTTGCACCTCCACCAACACCTCTTATTGTACCTCCTCCCACACCAGCACCTCCTCCAACACCTCCTCCAGCACTGACTCTTCCTCCTACACCTCCTCCTGCATTCGTAGCTCCTCCAACACTTCCTCCAGCTTCTTCTCCAGCACCGACTCTTCCTCCTGCACTTCCACCGACACCTCCTCCTGCACTAGCACCTCCACCAACACCTCCTATTGCCCCTCCTCCCACACCAACACCTCCTATTGCACCTCCTCCAACACCTCCTCTGGAACCGACTCCTCCGCCGATCCTTCCACCAACACCTCCTCCCGCACCCGCACCGGCTCCTCCACCAACACCACCTCCAGCACTTGCTCCCCCACCAACACCTCCTCCAGCACCAACACTTCCTCCCAAACTTCCTCCAGCACCTCCACCAACATCTCCTATTACCCCTTCTCCCGCACCAACACCTCCTATTGCACCTCCTCCAGCACCGACTCCTCTGTCAATCCTTCCACCAACACCTCCTCCCGCACCAGCACCGGCTCCTCCACCAACACCAATTCCAGCACTTACTCCCCCACCAACACCTCCTCCAGCACCAACACCTCCTCCCGAACTTCCTCCAACACCTCCTCCAACACCTCCTCCTAAATTTCCTCTAGCACCAACTCCTCCTCCTCCACGTGCACCTCCACCAATAATAGTTCCACCTCCCTTAACATCTCCACCAACTCCGATACTAGAACCTCCTCCTACACCAACCCCACTTCCTCCCGCACCTTGGCCTTTTCCTCTCCCGCCACAGTTTTGAACTTTTCTTCCTTCTCCTATCCCAATCATTATTATCGTTAATAAAACAACATGCATTACAACATTACGTGAATGCTTAGACATATTTGCGTGGAAGTGAAAGTATTAGAGATTATGTGTGTCAAAAGAGAAAAATAGTTTGGAAAAAGGATTGTAGATGGATTGCTTATATTGAGAAACAATTCTATTTATAGGACAAATTTTGAAAACGATGTTAATGATTTGGAGACTTGGGACTAAAGTTTATCAAATTTCTACATGCTTAGGAGTAGCTTACGGCCACGTTTGCAGCCTTTAGTTCCACTTAAATTATGAACTTGATTTAGTGCATATGCCGACTAGCATTTTGAACCTTAAACAGGACGTGTGTCAATATGCACTGTTGTTAATTGTTAGAAAAGTACATATCTGATCCTCCATTATAATTAGATTCAACAAACTACTCAAGTCTCCCTTATACCTTTTAGTTAAAAATGAAGATCCTAATAAATTATTCTCTCTCTAATAATTTATAAATAAATTTTATTTTTTAAATTTATTGAATAATTAATATATTTAATCTATTTATAAATCAAATATATTAATTATTTAATGAATCTAAAAAATAAAATTTATTTATAAATCATTATGGAGAGAGTAGGTAACTTTTGAAAAATAAAATTCAAAACATTATCAAAAGGTATTTAATATTTGAGAGCTTTAAAAATTCATGAGATAGTGAATGGAGAGATGATCTCTAGTATCTCTAATATTTTAGCTCAAGCGAAATGTTGTTAAACTCTACACTTTATATTTCTTTTATCATAGTTATTGCCGTTTACGGGCCTAGACAAAAGATGACGGTGAAGGAGAATCAAATCCAATGTCAATATTTATTTATTACATAGAGAAATATATATATATATATATATATATATATATATATATATATATATATATATATATATATATATATATATATATATATATATATATATATATATATATATATATATATATATATATATATATATATATATATATATATATATATATATATATATATATATATATATATATATTCGGTATAATTATTTCCCTAATGACTATTACTAATTATTTTAGTGATAATTGCTAGAGGATAATTATGCTAAACACTTGGTTTAATAGTATGATGAGAATTTAGAGAATAAACTAAATAAGTGTTAAAGGGATATTTTGGTCTTTGCACCATTAAATGACAAGTTAGGGATTTGTTTGGATAAGCTTTATTTTTCTCATTTGTCATAAAATCAGATTTCGAGAGAGAGAAAGAGAGAAGCGTGGAAGAGAGGAAAAGAAGAAGAAGTTCCATTTTGTTCAAGCCTTAATCTTGCATGCTTCAAGAACCAACTCCATTCATTTGATTCGTCATCATCTTTCTCTGCTTTGCAGCTTTTTTATCTCTAAGGTGAGTCTCTAGTTAGAGACTTGGGGTTTTGGGAATTTATGTTGGGAATAAAGGTTTTGAGTGAAATTATTCATTAATAATCCTTAATCATGCATGAATATGACCCCATTCAATTGATAACTTGCACATCCATCATTACCATGACCTGTATTTTGATCATTGTGGTTTGCATGTGAAGGTTTGGGTGATTAGAGCCCCAAAATCGCATTTCTGCGTTTCTGGTTTTTTTCTGCGTACAACATGTCGCGTTTAGCGCGTGGGGTACCGCCCAGCGCGCTCCCCTGAACAGAATTTTACATGTTATTCCCCTGAGTGCAGTTTTGTTCCGTAGCGGGAATCAGACGCTTCCTCGGTCTTTTGAGACTTTAGAATGTGTTATGAAATGCACGATATTGTGATATGATCACTCTTATGCCATTTGTATATTTATATATGTATTATGTTGAAAATGCATTATGTATTCAATCTTTGTTGTTGTGTATTATTCTTGGATATTTAGCTCATATGTTCATCTAGAACTATTTGTTGCACTTGGTTGTTTGGTTTCTAGATCCTTAACAATTGGCATCTCTTTTTGATGTTGGCAAAGTGGGAGAAAGTTATAATGAGTCTAGAATTGCTTTATGTATTTTATGTTGTGGTTTATGTGTTCAATGTTTCCATGGGAACATGAGCACTTTTTATTTTAACTCAAAGTTGACTCATTTACAAGTGAAATCTTGTCAAGCATCAAAAAGAGGGAGAATGCAGTTGTATACCCCTAGGGGGAGTTGGTCGCATGTCCTTATTGTATGCAGGGGGCATCCTCGTTATGATTATTTTGTTGCTTGTCTTATCTCTTTCATTTATTATCATTTATTGAGTCTCCTCCATGATTGCACATATTCTGAATCAAGTTTGAAATTGATTCATTATCATTTTATCATGCATAAAACATTGGTTACGTTTGAATTTGATCAATATGTCTTTAGCCAACTGCATGAGTTTGTGGAATAAAAACTATATGTGTTTGATTCAAGTTAGGTGCAAGGAATTATATCAAAGTACCTTTAAAATCATTAAAAAAATTGAGTTTTTAAGCGTTTGATTTGAATCAATAAAATACACTCTCAATTTGATTTGAATCAAATTTAACATGGGTAGACAAAAAAATTCAAAACCATTTGATTCGAATCACACTTTGCATATGATTCGAATCATACATTTTTCTATCACCTCTGCCCAATTTGATTCAAATCACACTTTGCACATGATTCGAATCACACAGTTTTTCAATAAGGGCCTGGAGCATTTGATTCAAATCACTATTTGCACATGATTCTAATCATGGGGTCCTTGATTTAAATCATACATTGAACCTGATTCGAATCAACTGAAAAATGGATCAAAATTTGAATTGTTTTTATTCCATTCATTTTCTCACTTGAATTTGATGTGTCCACAAGTGCACGGAAATATCAGAGTAATATAAAAGATTGTCGAACCCACAAAGACCAATGTCAACCTACTGTAATCTATTTTCGCTTTGTAAAGCTAAGGCTAATGAATGAATAATTTAGGGGAAACTAAGAACTAAAACTGAAATAAAATAAGATTAAGGAAATATATATGAAAAGAGAGACCAGAATGTGTACCGCGTACCTCTGGGACTCTGTAACTCGTTGGCTTATACAGATGTTAAAAATGTGTTTAGTAGAAAATATCAATTTAAAGATTGAACCTCACACTCTTGTGGTTTTGGATAAAGTCGCATTCCTTAACCATGATATTTTTCTCTCGCTCGCCCATTTTAATTAAGGAATGTGTTTTGAAAACTGAACAAGTTCTAATTAATCGTAAAGAGTTCTCGTTGTGTTTAGAACTAATGCCTAGTTTCTAAAATCCAGTTCGACACCCACGCTCTCGCAGTGCTAGCTCGAACCTTAGTTAATTTCCCACTCTGGTGGAAAAATCGTATTAAGTAATCTCTCACTCTCGTGACAAAGCTATTTAAATTAACTTTAAAAACAAAGACCGAAACTGAATTTTCAAACAGATATTAAGCCAACTTATTACTGAGTCCCATCAGAAAAACGGTTCTCACATACCATACTCTAAGTAATTTGATCGAACATACTATTGATTGAAAACAAATTAAACATAGCAATTGCAATTAAAAACAACATGGTAATTAAATTTGACAAACAAATCAATAATGACAGATAATAATAATAATAATAATAATAATAATAATAATAATAATAATAATAATAATAATAATAATAATAATAATAATAATAATAATAATAATAATAATAATAATAATAATAAGCAATATGATAAAGAACCTGTAAAACACTTGAAAATAAATGAAAACTAGAAATAACTTCAATAATAACGGCAAGATTGTTGGTCCAAGCAAGTTACACAAAAGAGTCCTAGTACTAGTGGTGTGGTAGTTCCCCGATGTGAGAAACTACCACTTTTACAAAAGTAATTTCTGCCTAAAACTACTAACAACACTTCCATGCACAAACTTGGATTTTTTTTCAAAAAATGAATGTTCGATCCTTTTTATAGTTAGAACTAATGGAAGTTACTTTAAGATTCATGTGAGAAGTAGTGGAGATCATGGTCGGAGAAGATGATAAAATCATGAGGTGAGTGGGTGAAGTGGAGAAAATGGAGATCATGGTCGGAGAAGTTGAGATAATATAGGAGCTTCGTTGCAGACATGGAGAGAACTTCGTATTAATACTGAAAAAGCTTGTGACGAGTGGCAGACATTGTATGTCGTGGGGCACATATATTTTAACATGTGTTAGTCTTCATACCATGTGTGCCAAGGGGCACACATATTTTTCCTACTGTTGTACCCCAAAATTTGCCCTCTCTTTTCTCAAGATATTTCTCACAAAGATTTTCAAGAGCTCAAGCTTGCACAAGTATTGACTAGGTCAAGCCATCTCCTCAACACTGATACCTCAAAATTAGGATTTGAGCTTGTACAAGGACAATTGGACTTTTAATACTTCAAATGACTTTCATGGATTATTATGGACCTTCAAGAATTCTCATGTCAAGTTTCAAATCTTGTATCATAAATTCTGCCCAGTCAATTGACCAGATGACCAAAAATCAGTTGTACTGATAAAAAGTCAACCCATACACCAAAAGTCGAACTTTGACTTCTTGGTCAACATTAAGTCTCAAAGATCAAAATTCATCAAGACATTTGTTGTACCCCAAAATTTGCCCTCTCATTTTTCAAGATTTTTCTCACAAGACTTCTTGGACTCAAGACAAGATTTAGGGTTTGGTCAGCTCAAGACATCACCTTGCACTGATAACCCAAAATTAGGGTTTGAGTTTGCACAAGGATTTTTGGACCATCAATGCTTCATGTGACTTTCATACATCATTTTGGACCCCTAAGATTGCTCATGTTAAGTTACAAGCCTTGAATCACCTTTTTACTCAGTCAATTGGACAGTTGACCTATAAATCAGCTGTATTGGGGAAAAAGTCAATCATGGCCAATTTACAGTCAAACTTCATAATTTTTTATCCACAACAACATTTTAGACTCATATGTACCATTTGATCAAGTTTGGATCACAAC